TGTACATGCTTTTAAACATAGAAGGAAACACCAATAGGCCTACACTGAAATTTTGCAGTATTTCTTGTTATATGAATCCGTATTTAGGGCATGAACTTTTTTTTCGAAATGTAAAATTTTATTTCCAGGGTGTTATTGTGGTATATTACAAAAGTTTGCTTCTGTGTTTTCATACAGATAATCACAGAAAAAGAAGTAATCAAATATGAAAAAAAACCATCAACAAGCTAAATAAACAATCTAGAATATTATAAATCATTACAAAACACTTAAGATTCAACTAGCTAAACATTTCACTTGTAGAATACAGTGCCTGTGCTCGGCAGCCTCGCCTCTGTCAGTGCGCCCCAGGGCAGCTGTGGCTACATTGTAGCTCATCACCATCATTGTGTGAATGTGTGTGAATGGATGAATGATACACTGTAGTGTAAAGCGCTTTGGAGTCCTTACTCTGAGAGGCGCTATACAAGTGTGGGTCATTTATCATTTATCTTAGAATACAGTATTTTATAATTATTATACAACGTAGACTATTAATGAAGCAAATTATTGTAGAATAGTTTGAATTGTTTTGAACAATAATGATCATTTCAGATTCAAATAGGGTATTAGAATAATATGTATTAGAGTATCATCTTCCTTCTCTTGACCATGTAGAGCCCTGAAAGTTATAGTCAGGATTCTAAAATGAACTCTAAAGTTCACGGGTAACCAGTGCAGAGACAGTAGAATAGGAGTGATGGGAGCTCGCTGCAGAGTTTTGGACCAACTGAAGGCGGTCATGTTTTTTTTTTTTGTTCAAACACATGAAAAGTGTATTACAGTACTTTAGACGGGAGGAGATAAAGGCATGGAAAACCACATTTAAACAATGTGAAGGGAGTGAAAACATCTACATCACTTTTACGTTTAGAGATTAGGATTTAGGAATCTTCACCAACTCTTCTGCTTCCATATTGTGCACCATTTATTTAGCAACTTAAGTGAGAACACTCAAATGCCAGTTCAATTCTGGCAGAAGCAGAGCATCATTTACTGCTGCAAAAGGATAATTGGAGAAATGTAACAGTGCAGCAGTTCACTGTGTGATGGAAAGTGACAGTAAAGTGGTATCCAGTGTGTTGTTTTCTAACAACTATCCATATATTCGCTCATCTTCAGTGACAGCAAAAATGGGATTGTCTACTTCAAGCAGTCATCTTTAAGTTTTATTAGCCTCACATCAAACACGAGTGTTAGCAACATCCTTTTGCATAATACAGATCAGTGATTCATGATTATTGCTTTTATTCATCTCCAGTGCAGGACCTCTTCTATGCAGTGTACTGAAAGCGTGTTCTTCCTCCTTGTAGGTGTCATTGATTTACATTTGGTTTCTCAATGCATACTGTTTTCTTCAGCTGATTTCTCACACTTCTACCACAAACATTGAAATGTTCTTCTTTTTGCTGAACATCATCAACTTTTGAGATACACAACTCTCAGGTTTCTGCTCACTGGGAACTTTTATCATCTTTGTTCATTGCTGATGTTGAAAAACAATTTTAAATGAGCTATTCTAATCCTTTTCATTGCTTTTAATGAGCAGCTCTCTTCTATTGAACCTCTTCACTTGTTTTTTTGGACAAAATTATGTTTTTATATAAACTTTTTAAATAAACAACCTTAAACTGAAATTGAAGCAGCCATTTTTGTTTAGAGAGCAGATAAAACAGCTTGTAAAAGGGTCTGCAAACACTCTTTGCAGAGTGCAGACTAATTTGCATGTATACAAAGGTAACCGTTGGCAATACCTTGTTTGTATGTTTCTTTCATTACATTTTCCACTTCATCTTTGTGTAAAAGCAAAATAGAATTATTTGCAACTTTGCTGTTTTTGTTATTAATAAAGCCCAAATGATCAGCTGTTAAATGAATGTGCCAACATATAAAACCCTCACTTTCTCTCTTTTTTATCAGATCAAACCTCCTGTTAGTGTCTAACGAGTTGTACTTCCATTCTGCAGCATATGTCTGCTGTCAGTGCTTGATATCCATCATTACATTCATCATCTAGAACGGAGAGCTCCCCCCACCCATCCACCATTTCACAAAGATGCTGTTCTTCGGTGGTCAACTTAGGAGTGGCATTAGATAACGCTTTCACCTTTGATGCACATGTGGGTGCGGTTGTATCGTCCTCTTTTTACCACTTGCGACGTCTGGCCAAAGTGAAGTCATTTTTAACTAGATAGGACCTCGAGACTGTTGTGCATGCGTTTATCGCCTCTCGTTTAGACTACTGTAACTCTGTCTTAATTGGGGTGAGACAGAGTACGGTAGCTCATCTGCAGCTTGTGCAAAACGCCGCGGCAAGATTCCTAGAAGGGAAAAGGAAATATGATCATGTGACACCCATCCTGGCAGATCTGCACTGGTTACCGGTCATTTTTTGAGTGTGTTTTAAAATTCTTTTATTGGTTTTTATGGCATTGAATGGGATGGCACCAGAATGTTTATCTGACTTGCTACAGCCATATATACCTAGTCATTCGCTCCACTCAGACAGTCACCATATGCTTCTAGTCCCCGCAACCAGGCTCAAAACAAGAGGAGACGGGGCTTTTTCGGTAGCAGGCCCAAAATTATGGAATGATCTTCCATTATCTGTGCGACTCTCCACGTATTAGAGGTTTTTAAGAAGGCGCTGAAGACCCATTATTATAATCTGGCTTTTAAATCTGTGTGTTAACTGATGTTTTGTATTTTGCTGTTTTTAATTTTGTTTATAGGGTTCCTTTATATTCGTTGTTTTTATCTTTTTAGTTTAGTCTTGTGCAGCACCTTGGGGACATGATATATGTCTGTAAGGTGCTTTTATAAATAAAGGTGACGATGATGATGATGGTGATGATGATGATGATGATGATGATGATGATGATGATTGAGGTGATTTGTCACTACAGTTTATCATTAGGAAAATTACATTCGACAAGTACAATAATAACAGCTCTACAACATTGTTGCCTCTAGGCGAATTGTATTTATAGTGTCTCCAACTGCATATCATCAGAAATATAGTAGATGAAAATCAAAGGAGAGTTTAATAGCACTGGTGTTCGATTGTGTGTTTAAGAAAACAGCTATACCATTACTACAACTACCAATAGCTATGTTGGCCGTTATTCCATTCATAAGAAAAATGGAGAACATGTTACTTTTTACTTAAAGAGCAAGTCACCCCCTGCCAGATTCTTACTCAACTCCTACTTTCTGTTTGAAAAATGCAACAAATGCTGTTGCCTAGCAGACCAAGAGGGCAGAGCTGCTAACAAATACACACACACACACAGGCTCACAATGACATTGTGACATCATATGGTACCAGCTAACGTTCTAGGGTACCTCTTCGCCAATAGCGATGGCAGATTTAAATTCAAATGCAGTGCAGAGTTTTTGCCTAACGACGGTGCAACACTGACAGTTTTAGGCAGAATATTTAAATTTGAACTAAGATGCACTGAAGTGCCAAATTATTGACGACACGTGTCTGCAGCACGATTAGACACTCATTTATTTAGTTTATCAGCAAAAAAATTGTTTATTTGGGGGTGACTTGCTCTTTAAAGAGCAAGTTACCCCCAACCAGATTCTTACTCAACTCCCACTTCCTGTTTGAAAAATGCAACAAATGCTGTTGCCTAGCAGACTGAGAGGGCGGAGCTGCTAACAAATACACACACACACACAGGCTCACAACAACATTGTGACATCACATGGTACCAGCTAACGTTCTAGGGTACCTGTTAGCCAATAGCGATGGCAGATTTAAATTCAAATGCAGTGCAGAGTTTTTGCCTGACGACGGTGCAACACTGACAGTTTTAAGCAGAAAATTAAAAATTTAACTAAAATGCACTATAGTGCAAAACTATTGACTACACGTGTCTGCAGAGCAATTAGACATGCATTTATATAGTTTATCAGAAAAAAAAGTTTATTTGGGGGTGACTTGCTCTTTAAGATTTTAAATAACCTGTAGCAAATTATAAATTATCAAACAGGGAAAAAAATAATTTGCATCAAACTTTGCAAACTTCTTACTTGTTATTCTTCTGAATCATTTTGATTATTCATTCCCTATTTTTTCATCGATTACTATTAATAAAGAAATATCTTGCCTGAGTTTGACACAACAATCCAAATTATGTCTATAAACTGATGACCGTACTATTAACCCAACCCTACACTCTACCCTAACCATAACCTTGTTTTGTCAACAAGCCAAATTTGGATTATCAAAATAATACATCCAGAGCGAGGCCATCTCTCAGGTTATTGAATAGTGTCAAATACTGCTTATTGATTACAGAAGCTACAATAGATCTCCTTTCTCTTTTTCCTTTGACATTACAGCATTTTGTGTTTGCTCATGGTTATTTATTAAATCCCATTTGTATTTATTTCTCTTATATTTGTCTAGACAATAATTTGTCATTCCTTCCACTGTCCTCCTCCACCCGTCCTTCTATTGTGGTTTTAGCTGCGGTTTTTTAGCCTCGGCTGACTGTTTTGTTTGTCCTTCGGTGTTGTCTTGGGGATTGCGCTCGCCCACTGTTCCTGTACTAAATATTTCATATTTCTGAATCCATTATTAAAAATCATAAATGAGCCACAGCCACGCTCTCAGATTTTCATTTAATCATCTAAATGATTCAGCAGAAGAGAAGCAGAGACAGGAAATGCAGACGTATTGATGTGACGTTGCACGGAGACCCTCCTCGGTGGTTTTGTCATGCCTAGAACATGAAATTAGCCCTGAAAGTGCTTGGCTGCTTTCACCCGTGACTCAGGTGGTGTTGTAACATGACTGTGGATTTCTGATCATTCTGAAGAGATGCCACTTCTACCGGGCGGATGTTTTTTAACCCTGAGTGAAATGAACACATTAATAAACAGGTAAATGTGGTCTTTTCGCTGTGACACAGGATGCTCTTGTGTATATTTTGGTCACCATTTAGGTTACCTCAACATCCAGTCCTGGCCCGACAACATGACAGACTTGAGTGTTTTCTCCAACCTGGCAACTATTGGAGGAAGGGCACTGTACAGGTACCGGAAAGTTCTGTGTCCATGTGTATTTCTTTGCAATGTCTAGTTTAAATAATTGTTAAATATTAACATGTCCTTTTATCCTATGTTTAGGACTTTTATTATTATTATTATTATTATTATTATTATTATTATTATTATTATTATTATTATTATTATCTTCACAATTCTAAACTTGCATAAATGCTGCAAAAAAAAAAAGAAAGAATTATATACAAAAATATATGACCCAATACATTGGTAAAAATGCTAAATATATATAACACAGCTACATTCCCCAAACAAAATCTGTCACTTTGAGTTTAACATGCAGGCTAAATATAGATAATAGTCTTCTACCCTATTTCCTGCATTAGCCAGTGATAGCAAATAAACTAGAAAAAGCTCAGATTAGATACGCCTGTCAATCACAAGTCATAATGTCAGATTAGCATTCATGGACTCACCCATCTTGGCTCACAACAGGGAAGGCTGTTGTTGTGTTAGCATCTAGGAAACAGCAGAGAACATGTGTGTGTGTGCGTGTGTGCGTGTGTGCGTGTGTGTGTGTGTGTGTGTGTGTGTGTGTGTGTGTGTGTGTGTGTGTGTGTGTGCGTGTGTGTGTGGGTGAGTGAGTGCGTGAGTGCGTGTGTGTGTGTGTGTGCGTGCGTGCCTGCTCTGTCTTCTCGATCCCCAGTGAGTCGTGGAGGATGGCTGCTTATACTGAGCCAGGATTCTCTGGAGGTTTCTTCCTGTTAAAAGGGAGTTTTCCTCTCCACTGTCGCTTTATGCTTGCTTAGTATGAGGATTGCTGTAAAGTCACTGACACTAGTCAGTGACTTGATACAATTTGCTGGGTTCCTTATATAGGAAACATTATTTCTGATTGGCTTAATGAACTGACCTGAATTGGAATGTTTATTATCTGAAGTGCCTTGAGACGACTCTTGTCGTGATTTGGCGCTATATAAATAAAATTGAATGGAATTGAATTGTGTAGTAGAAGCTAACCGTTAGCATTAGCAAATCAACAACAAGGGAGAACTCCTTCAGGCTTGAGTTTTTGCAGAGATAAAACATCAACGTTGCAGAGTGAACGGAGGCATAAAAATAGCTGCGTACAATTAAAGGCAAGGTTTCTAAGTATTAGTAATGAGTCGTCTGAAGCTCAACTCTGAACTGGCTCACTTCCATTTCCTGAAACAGGAGCGTCACAGCTGCATTTCCATTGAGCTCAACTCACAAGCCATTCAATTAAGCTAGCGACCACTGCAAATAGGTTTAAAAAAACAAGTGAACTTGTCTTTACATGATTTAAATATTAATAAAATAATCATTACACATCTCAGGTGTTGAATTTTATTTTCTTAGAAATAGTAAAAGTGAAGCTAAGCTTTTTTTATATTGTTAACATAAATCTGAAAAAAAGGAGAAACAGGAACAGAAAAAAATGTATGCAAATAAATCTGGTTCTGAATCATGACACAAACATTATTATATAAACATTATTATATACCTTATATAACTGAATTAATTATTAATGGTTCATCTATCAGCCTGGTAGAGCCATGTCCCTTCCAGTGTAGGGCTAGGGTCAAGTAATGGAGTTTAATTCAGTGTGTCTTCTTAGGTTAGAAGCATCTTAATGTGAATTAACAGTAAATGTTCTTTGGCTATGCTTGTAGGATTAAGTGCTCTGCATTTAAATTTTTTACCAAGTGCAATAATTACTTCCAAAGAACACTGTGTGTGGAACGTGTTTCAGTTATGATTATGTTTTGACATTTAAGAACTCAGTAGTTTTAACCCAGCTGAACATAATTATTTATAATTTAGTTTTTACTGTTTTTCTTTTGGTCTTTTTATGAAAAGTGCTCTAAAATGTGAAGTGGCATTTGGATGGGAACAACGTGAGTCTTGGCTGATTATATAGTGTGTGTGTGTGTGTGTGTGTGTGTGTGTGTGTGTGTGTGTGTGTGTGTGTGTGTGTGTGTGTGTGTGTGTTGCACCTGCTTGCTGATGGAAGCAGCAGGCCTTACAGATTATAGCCTGCGTCTGACCTTTGACCTGTGTGTACTCTTGAGCTGCGTGATAGCTCCAACACCTTGCTGCCCTCTTGTCATAATTAAATAGTTTAAACGGAGTAAAGATGGAACTCTGGGGGGGTATTAATTTAAAACTAGTGAATCAGATCTTTTTTTTTTGTACTCATGTATGAAAATATTATCTTAGATACAATAGAGTTTGATGAGAAATAGCCAGACTTGTTCCAAATTCTAAATTAAATTAAACACAACATGAGAAAACATCCCATTGTTCTGTTTCCTCTGCTTGGCCTGAACTTTTCTTTTCTCCTCTTTCGCCCGGTTCCTGTCTGGCCCTCGTCTTCCTCTCACCTCCACCCGTTTCGCCCCGTCAGCGGGATCTCGCTGCTGGTGTTGAAGCAGCAGGGCATTTCATCGCTGCAGCTTCAGTCCCTAAGAGAGATAAGCGCCGGGAATGTTCACGTTGCAGAAAACAGCCAGCTCTGCTACTACAGCACCGTCAACTGGACGAGATTGTTCCGCGCAGCGAACCAAAAGGTTCTGATCCGCAACAATCGAAGCCCACAGGAATGTTGTAAGTCTGCTGTAACATCTGTGCAAAAATGCAACAGAATTAATCAGGTGTTGATGGAATATTAAAGGGTAACTGAAATCAATAAATAACTCTGAATGTGCACAATTATATGTTTTTTTTATAATTTTATTTTTAAAGATGATTTTGCTTAATTTTGTACCACTCCCACCATGCTCAGACATAATTTATTAATACATGATGTTCATTATGAGGAGGCATAATGCATTATTGAGAAAGCCTCCTTACACTGTTGATTGTGTCCTACGTCTGGGCAATTCGACTAACACACACACACACACACACACACACACACACACACACACACACACACACACACACACACACACACACACACACACACACACACGCATGCTGCACACACAAAAAAAAGGTTGAGGGCTTTTAGGCTAATTTAAATGTTAAACACTTGACAAGGATGTGTGTGTGTGTGTGTGTGTGTGTGTGTGTGTGTGTGTGTGTGTGTGTGTGTGTGTGTGTGTGTGTGTGTGTGTGTGTGTGTGTGTGAGAGAGAGAGAGAGAGAGAGGAGAGAGAGAGAGAGAGAGAGAGAGAGAGAGACAGAGAGAGAGAGAGAGAGAGAGAGAGAGAGAGAGAGAGAGAGAGAGAGAGAGAGAGAGAGAGAGAGAGAGAGAGAGAGAGAGAGAGAGAGAGAGAGAGAGAGAGAGAGAGAGAGAGAGAGAGAGAGAGAGAGAAAGTGAAGGTATCTCAACACTCCCAACAAGAGAAACAGAAAATATGTATCTGTAGAGCCTACATCCAACATTTAGCCTCAGTAATGGACTGAGAACTTATATCTCTGCTGAGGTGAAATATGTAGACATGTCTCTAGATAACCAGACAAACCTAAAAGCAAACCCACAATCAAAGCAGAGTGTTTGAGGATATGTTTGAAATGCTAATTTAGTGTGATGAAGTGTGTTGTGGTGTTTTAACACGCATTTCAAAGACTTGGTAAATAGGTATTTAAGATTGACAGGAAAAAGACTTGCTCTACTGAAAAGTGTTCAACTTTTGTTTATGTAAACGTTTTTGCAGATGGGTTTTTTTTTGCACTCTGTTCTTTCTGGCATAAGTTTTAAGTGTGTATTTAACTAAATACTTTCAGGCAATTAAAGCTATACAGCTGACTATTTACCTAAGACAATTATTTCTTATCTAAAGTATCCCAACTCAAAGAAGTCCAGACACTTTTCTGGTGGTGCTCACTCCTCACCCCTGCCACATGGACCTCAAGGGATAAACCATCAAACCTGCTCAATAGTCAACTTTCCTGGCGGGGTCACCCATGAAGACAGTGGGAGGGTTAAAGAGGTCCTTCACAGAGAAAATGTCTTTTACTTGTTTTTTTTTTAAATGATCAGTCACTCTTGGTTTAACATGCAGGCTGAATGTGAATTGTGTTGCGCAACTATCTTCTGAATTTGCCTCTGAATAAAGGTGATGAAAACCTATGATTTGAAAAGTCTGACAGATCTATGTCACACTGTAACCTAACATTGATGGGTTTGCCCCTCTTGACTTGCAATGGGGAAGGCTGTTGTCGGTTTAGTGTCCAGGAAATGGCAGAGAACGTATCAGCTAGTAGAAGCTAACTGTTAGCATCAGTAGCTTGGCAGATCTGTGTTAGGCTTGTGTTATTTGTGGAGATAAAACATCAATGTTGCTAAGCAAATAGTGTCAGTGTCGCATTGCTGTTAGCCAATCAGATGCAAGATGTCCAAATATCAAGAAATAAGCCTTCAAATCCTGACACTGGAAGCTCAACTCTGATGTGGCTCACTCCTACTTCCTGAAACAGGCAACCGGAGATTTCTGTCCCCAGAGTACAACTTGCAAAGACATTCATTCCTACTAGAGACCACTGCAATTGTGTTAAAAATGTGAGTGAAGGACCTCTTTAATGCATTACATCCACATTACCTTCTATAGCTGCTGGTTCCAAATTCAAATAATGCAAATTTTACACTTTTATTGCTAATTAACATAATTAATCCATATTTTGGTTGTAAACTATATGAAATGTATCAATTTGTTGTCAGTTAAAAAAAGTATATCTCAGATGATAATGACCATGGCAGCTAAATTCAGCTTTAGAACAAAACAGAAGTGGGGATACAGTTTTCTAAGGCGAGACCATACCTACGATGTTTAATGTCCATTTATTTATTGAGATGTTTTATCTATATTTCTGCTTCCTCATTTTATACTTGAAAAGAGAAAAATGACAGAAATTGCTCATGTTTTTCACATTTCCTTTTTACTGTTATATTCATAATTCTTCACATTTTCATTTCTATACAGACCTTTTGGATAATTTGTTCTTTTCTTTCCTTTTCTCTGTAAAAAAAAGCCTTAGTCTCTCTGCTTAGCCAGTTCTGTCTCCCTCATGTCAGGCCTTTTCGTTTCCAACCATTTCAGACACATCTGAAGTTGCCATGTTTTTGATCTTGCTGCACAGTTAATGTCTTTTCTTCACTGCCCAACCTTTCTATTCTCCCCTTTCTTCTCTACCCATTCAGTTTACCTGTGGAGCTAGAAGCCCTGCACAGGTGGTTTTGTCTCTTATGAAAAGCAAAGCTTTCATCTTTTGCCCTTGAAAGTAGCAATTGATTTTTGTCTTTTTATTTTTCTATCTGCATTCCTTTTTCAGGAAATTGTAAGCATTGTGACACCAAAATCCATGTCCTACATGTTTCCTGGACAGGAAAAACATATCTGACCTTTTTAAATAATTATGAATAATCTATTAGGGAAAGAAACGAGAGAACAAGCTATTTAAAAATCCATTAACAAGGTGGAATTGACCACAAAAGGGATGTTTCTGTATCTCTAAAATCTTCTGTGCTTTTTTCCTCTTTTATTTATACTTTTTCAGTATAGAAATCTCAGATGTAGCAGTTACTTTAAAAATGAGACAAAGAACAAAGAGAAAAATCTGATTACAGGGCAGAGGAAATAGCCTGGAAAGGTCACAACTCCTTGGAAAAAGATGGGTGCTGGGGTCCAGGTCCAAGACCTGACACAAAAATGGCTTGTTCAACTTTTTGTTGTTTTTTTTCCCTTCTTTTACGTTGTTATTGTTCTTTGTCTTCTTTTTCATTTTTTTTCTTTTCTCAATTATTTTCTCTCTGCTTCTCCTTTTTTTGTTCCCTTTTTTCTCTTTTTTTCTTTTTTCTTGTTCTTTTTCATTTTGTTTTCTCATTAGTCTTTTTCTTCTACCTGTTCTTTTTCAGTTTTGTGCTTTTACTTTTCTTTTTTCATTCTTTCTTTCTCTGCTTCTAGTTCATGTTCTTCTTTTTGTTCCTTTTTTATTTTCCTTGTTGTTGCTGTTCTTGTTCATCTCTATTGTTTTTGTTGTTGTTGTTGTTCTTTTTAATTTTCTTCTCCTTCCACTTCTTCGAAAATCTGTACCACTAGGTTTGTGACACCTTGACCGTTTTGCCCTTGCTCAATATGTGGATACTAAGGAACTGAACTTTTTTTCTTCAGTTTATTCATTACTTTGACTCTATGGTGTAGTTTGACATGTTTAAATGCTGTCATTTTCTCCATGTTTTGTCCCTGTGTGTTTTGAGCAGCCAGAGAGCGAATGGTGTGCGACCCTCTGTGTTCAGATGATGGGTGCTGGGGTCCAGGTCCAGACCAGTGCCTGTCCTGCCGCCACTTTAGCCGTGGACGAATCTGCGTAGATTCCTGCAACCTTTATGAAGGGTAAGCAATGCAGGCAGGCATCATGCTGATATAGCTGGAAAGGAAAATGGCTGTTTGAAGCATGGAATCTTTAATTTTGACAGGCAATGTAATAATTATGGATGGATAAATGAATGATGTTTCACACTAAAACATTTTTTACACAGGAATATTAAATATGTAAAAAATATATTAAAAATGCATAAATATATATATATTGTATATAAATTTATTTATTATTTATGTATTTATTCTATTAGTGCCTATCACTGGTGATCACAAGTGTGTTTTTAACAAAGGCCAGTGATAGAGATAATATTTAACATTTTTTATTAGTCATTACTTTCTTTAACATTGTACTGTACCATGTTCAGCGCCTTGGGCTTCCTGACAGGGTTGCGGAAGGCGCTTTATAAATAAAGCTGTCATGTTGTGGTGAAGAAATCTAACCCACGACATACAGAATCAGATCAGAGATGGTGTAAAATGTTTAAATAAGGATTTATTAAAGGGAAACCAAGGAAGCAGCGTAAATGTAGCTGAGTTCTTGCACAAGGAAGCTGGTGCGGGAAATCTGTGGACAGATCGGGGTTAGATCCAATTTGCGGAGGGAATAAGGAATCAGACTTGTGCGGAGGACTTAGGGTCTGGAGAGGAGGGAACTGGTTTGAGGGAGGAGTGGTCCGGTCTGGGTTGAGAGGCTTTGCAGGGACTGAGATCCAAGAAGTGAGACGTGGAGGGAGCTGAGCTTGGGGAGGTCCAGGAAGTTTAGGTGAGCAGCTGGAGGTGGTTCTGGCCAGGGGTGAGGCTGAGAGGCAAGCGGGGTTGGAGATCCAGGTGGTGTGGGCTCCAGAGTTCTGCCAGTCTAAGATGAGTGTGTAGGTTTGTCTGGGAACAAGAGCAGGAGGTCAAAAGGCAAAAATCCAAAATCTCATTAAATTCTTAAAAATCCAAATTCCAAAAACACAATCTAATTCTCAAAAGGTTTGAAGAGCTCGAATAAGATAAACTAGTGGCTGTTAGAAGGTACCCAGGTAGAGTAATCATCCAGCGAGGTGTAGAAGTCTCCCAGCTGCTTAAATACCCCTGGCCAGCTGATGAGCAGATCTGCTGCAGCTTGGTCAACCTCCAGACACGCCCACCTGCAGAGGGAAAAACTCAAAAGACAGAGAGTGACAGCAGGAATCCACCTCAGGCCGTGACAAAAGCTTTGATTTGATTTAATATTTGATCATAATTTCACAAATCTTTTCATAATACTTTTTTGTTTATGTTTATTTATTTGTCAGATGTTTTTATCCGAAGCAACGTACAATTGTTAACCCATAGGGCATGTTGTGATTTGTGGGGGAAACCGGAGTACCCGGAGGAAACCCACCCATGCATGGGGAGAACATGCAACTCCACGCAGAAAGGCCGCAGCTGGGTTTTGAACCTGCAACCTTCTTGTTGTAAGGCAACAGCGCTAACAACTGTGCCACCGTTTTAAAATGCATGTATTTACCTATTTTGGTCAAATGAAATTCTACTAGTCTACAATTGCAGTTGAGGGCAAGGAGCAGTTTTTATTCTGAGTGTCCTTAGAGGGGTCAGGAGACATTCGATTAATTATGTAAAAATGACATACATGTTTATATATTTTCTTTGTATTTGTGCAGTTAAGTCAGCCTATTGCAAATCAAAAACATAAATACACAAATAGATTTTAACCAAAACAAAATTGTTAATCTTCGTAGATGGATAAATAGACACATGCACATAAAAATGAATGGAAATTGCTACTTTTGTTTGTGTTAGCATCCTTTTCTTAGCTAGAATAGTTACTACAAAGCAAATCTGCTGGTTTTCCAAATATAGAAGTGAGGTCAGAGGGACTGAATTTACTTTCTTCATAATCGGATCAAAGGTTTCCATTTTGTTCCTGGATATTTTATTCACCAAAGATTAGAACAGGAGGGCTGCATGGTGACATGTTTGAGTGTTTTGTTGTAACCAGGTATAATACATGAATATACACCTTTGTACAGTCAATCTTGATTTTTGTTTTTTTACATATGATATCATGTTTTTGCTTTTTAAAACACATTTATTATTAATTTAGTTATGACTAACTGACGGCATTTCCTTCTTTCCGGTTCCTCAGCAGCACCATATTTGGTCAGCCACAGACTACAAAGGGATATACAGTTGCAGCAGTAGAACATGTCTGTCAAAGCTCTATGGTAACAGAAAAGGAGCTTTTGAAGTGATGGGCAGGAGAGAAGAAAGTCCAGCAGCTAGTGAAAAAGAAAATACTGCACTCTAGCAAATGCCAAGAGCGAATAAAACTCACTTCAGTAGCATGAACACAATCAAACATGCCCCCCCCCCAACTAGGAAAGAAGAAAAACATAATGTTGATTTCCTCTGTTCACGTCTTCCAAGGAAACAGTTTGAAAAACCCTCATTAAAGCGGTATGAAATATACCGTTCCTTTTTATTTTTACTTTTTCACACGCAGTAAATCGTTGATCTGACAGCTTGCAACTCAACTATAAACTGATAACATCAGCAAGCGGTTTTACAGTAAACGATCAGACTCCAGGTTAAATGTTGAAAAGTGTCATCAGGTGAAAGGGGGGTTTTCAAGGTTGGTGCCAGTCAGCACTGTTGTTATTTTTAACCATTTTTCCTCAGTAGGGCCACCAGGGAGCTGGTGCTTACCCCCAGCAGTAATCAGGCAAGAGGCAGGGGACACCCTGGGCAGGTTGTCACTCCATCACAGGGTCATATTAGCTGGATTTCCACTAAAGGAGTTCCAGGGCATTAGTTGGAGGGAGAAAAATGAGCGGGAGATACAAAATTAAGACTTTTGATAAGATGTCGGGATATTGCAGCTGCACTGATCTGAGCCAAAGGCATCGACAGACATTACTAATAGAAGTCGACTGATATTGATTTTTCTATTACCAATATCAATGCCGATATGCAAAGGTCATGGTCATGGCCGCTCTGTGCTGCCGATGTTTTGGGCCGATTTTCCTGGCCTAGACATTTTCCATCTTATTTTCATGGTGAAATGTCACGGATAACATCAGCTGATGCACAAACGTTCAGAAGATGAATCAGTTTTAAAAACACTGAATTTAACCAGCTGTTAAATCTGAGTTTTATATACTGCTTATTGTTAAAATCAGACATCTACCTAACATCAACCAAACAAATCAGTAAACCGACCCGGTATTAAATATGCAAAACTGGTAAATGAAAAGATTTACTTTTAGTTGATAGATTTAGTTGGAAATCATTTTAGAGCGTTTCTTAGAGGAACATAAAAATAACCTCAAATAAAATTCTGCAGCAGTACCAGGCTGTCCAAGCATGTGCCTGACTTTAAATCAGCTTTACTAGGGAGGTATTTTGGCCAATATATAGAAAAGGTCATTTATTGGCCCGTTGCATTAGTCTACCCCATACGCCATAGTTTAATCCATTTGGGGGTGAAAGAACGAATGTGTGACGTAAAATGTTGCGTTCAATGACCAGAAGACACATTGGTTTTTATGGTGCTCTGTAAGGCAATAAAGCATCATGAATTACAGCGTTGGGGGGGGGGGTTTCCACCACATTTTTTGATGTCAAGAGTTTAAAAACAGCCATTTTGAAGAAGCATCAATGCTGTTTTATTTATTTATTTTTCCCTTACACTTCATCAGCAACTCTTCAATTTTACAAATGCTGGTTGTTTGGCAGCACATTCTGAGGTCATTTCCTACTGGGTCATAACCAATCAGCATGAGTTAACCACAAGTCTTTCCCAGAGATGATACACTCCTGAGCATTTCCGAGTACATTCCCCCAGTTTAGGCATGCCGTTGGTTCCTAAAAGGGCCCTGAAAATGTTCACTTTATTACGGCTTGGTGTAATGGAGAGACACGCTTGCCGGGAAGGTTCAGTGAAATTACCTGGAAGCTCCGATAGTGGAAAATCGTCAGTCACACATACCCAGTTCACCTAATGTGCATGTTTTTGGTTTGTGGGAGTTTCTGTGCATGCATGGGGGGGATATGCAAACAAACTTTTTTTTTTTTTTTAGTTTGCTTGTTTTGCAAAACACGGCAGTTATACAGTTTCCAAACTTCTCGATATTTTGAAACAAATTTAAAGCTGTCTATTTCTAAATAACAAATCAAACTACGCATTCTCTGAAAAGTTTTCAGAAAAATCCAATGTTTTTGTCATTTACAAGTCTAATATAATGTGTCTGCTTTAAGGGGATTATGTTAAGAGCCAAAGGGAATGAAGTACAATTTAAAAGTGATGGCAACAACACAAAAGCCCCCCTGCAGAGTTGAGAGATGTTATCTTCTTCCCCATAAAATAGTGAGAAAGCCTGCACCTTGGGCAGTTAATGGTTTAGATTATTTATTTATTTATTTGCCTAAATGTTTATTTCTCACTCAGATTTGTGGGATATATTTTTTATGGAGTTCAGAGTTTTTGACACACTTTTGTGGGCCACTTCTGGAGAAGGAGCAGGAGGACCTGCGGCTGCTGTTAGGACAGGAGGGCTAGGCGTGTCACTGCGTGTCACAGTCTCTGCTTGCGCACGGGGCCACGCCCTGCCTACCTGTCCACCTGCACGTCTGCACCACTCACGGCCTCAGTGTCACCGTGATGACCAGAACGTTATCGACTCAACGCTGACTTTCAATGAACCTTAACGTCTCCCACATTTTTGTAACCATTATTTTGTCACGCGTTAATATTCCTACTTCAGTCTTTGTTTTGCTTTGCGTACCTCATAGTTTATGCCTCTCTTTAAATTTTGTTTACAGCTTTCGGTTCATCAGAACTTATGAACGACTAAAAAACGTGCTCCAGATGAAACGTGCAACACAAAAAGCAAAGAGTCATTTCATATTTTAGGGTTGCATTGAGAGTTTTTATTTTCCTCAAGTGTTTATGTAGCTTAAATAACTACAAAAAAAACTATCTCTGACAAACAACACATAAAAAAATAAAAATCTCACAAAACAGTATTGATTCAAATCTAACTGTACATGTTTGATTTGAGTATGAGCAACAGAAGCACAGCATGGGTCGACTCTGCAGAAAACAAGAAGAATCTCCACGTTTTTGGTTGATGTTGAAAAACAGTTTAGGGGTTGTATTTGAAAATAGTTTAAATTTTGTGAATTTAAATAAACAATCCTGATGTTGCACTTTTTTTTTGATAATCGGCATTCATTGAACCATTGAGATAGTCTCCACGTTTTTGATGGTATTGCCTAGCAACTGAGGTACTCCACCTTAAAATACACCTGTATCATAAAACTCCACATTTCCTTGAATCCCGTTGTTTGGAAAGGTCAGCGTGGATTGGATCAGCAAAGAATTCTCTATTATTTAGTTTGATTTATTGCATGTATTGCATCATTTTTGTCCTAAAAGGAACAGAAAGCACAAGAAAGCAGAACCCAGTTCAAGATCGTGTAGCTCTAAAATCACAAATGATATCTTTTAGTTTTATTGCAGCATTTCGTATTTTAACCAGCATGCATACAGACGAAGGTTTTTACCTTGCATACCCCTTTGAAGGTTTTATGAAGGCCAGATGAAGCATAATTAATATTAATTTGATTGTATTCCCACTGGAACAGCAGCATTTCCCCCCTTTATTGCTGTTTTTCCTCACTAAGCAAAAGACCAGAACTCCAGTCTAATTTTCCTTCTCCTGTACCAGTGAAGGCAAAGTGCCAACTCTGATGCAGTGTGGTCCGATTTAATGACTTTCTGAGGCCAATCTAGTGTTCCACTATTGCAAAAAGATTGCAGAGATTGAATAAGTGCACTTCATTTAATTGGTTCTGAAAACGTTGCACCCCTCACGGGCCCTGCACCCCTCGACGGTTTCGACCCTGAGAGTTCAAAATCTTCAGGCTCCCTCAAAGCTTCCATCTTGTCGTTTTTGCTCTGGATTAATTCAAACAACATTGATTTAAATAAAATAAAAATAAAACAATAATTTGGAGCATGTCTTCAGTCATGAAAAAGGATCTTGGAAAGAGCATTCTGGAAGGAAAAATCTAAGGAAGTCTGACACGGAGGATGTAATCTTCTTATTAGAAGTTTCGAAAGCTAGTTTGGTTCATCTGCCTTGTTTCCATTAATGTTTAAGTCCCATTAGTCATCATCGCACACTGGTGAATTTACTCTGCATTTGACCCATCTCCGTTGGGGAGTGGTGAGCTGCAGCAGTGGCTGCGCTTGGGAACTATTTGGTGGTTTAACCCACCCAATCCAACCCCGTAAAGCTGAGCGTCAAGGAGGGAGGCATTGGGTCCCATTTTTAAGGTCTTTGGTATGACCCGACTGGGATTTGAACTTCAATCTCCCACTACCAGGGCAGACACTTTACCACAGGGCCACTGAGAAGGCTTCTCCATCAGGTGCCTGTCAAACTCCATTACTCCTTCTCTCTTTCTCTCTCTCTTCATTTTTAGGGATTTTCGAGAGTATGCCAATGGGTCGGTGTGTGTGGAGTGTGATGCCCAGTGTGAACGAGCAGATGACTCTTTGACCTGCCAGGGCCCGGTAAGCTTCCTCCAGCACTCAGAGGTAGAGCGAAGCTTTTAGCTGTTTTCTCCCTAAATAACAGATAACCAAGTTGTAAATACAAAGAAGTGCCATGCACTAATATTCTTTTTATTAGTTTGTCATTGGAAAATACACTACAACACAATCTTGTCACCCAAATAGGACAAGCCATCAGTTAGGAAAAACAAACCTCTTTCATTATTGTTTTAAGGAAAAAAAAACATTGTTTAAAGAAAAAATGAATAAATAAATAAATAAAGAACTTTGTGTTTTTATTTATTTTTTTGGCTTTCAACAAGTGAGTCAGAATATAGTAAAAAAAAAAAAGTATTTGACAGTTTTTTGTTTAGAATGTAACTCTCGCACCTCAGTAGCCTAAGGGTATAACCTGGGAAGCACAAAGATGAAGGCCTAAAAAAAACAGGATGAAGAAGAAAAAACATGACTAATCTTCCTACGCATTGTACAATGTTATTAGGAATAAACTGATGCAAAAAGATGTAACTGCATGCAGAAAATATCTAAGTTGTATCCCGCCATGGATCAACATGACCTAAATAATATTCCAGTTTAATCTTGAACGAAGGCAGTGAAAGGTGACTTTTTCAAAACACTTTGCTGCAAGTGCTCATAAGTATTTGGAGTTTCTGTAGAAGTCAGAATATATTCTTAAATTGTCCCTCCTCTAATTACTGAATCACTCCCTCATCCTTCAGATGACGCTGACTTTTGTTCACTGGAAATATACATGTACATGTTGAGCAGCACAAATACAACTTGCACCTTTCTGTCCTGCTGCTACCCTGCTTCTCAGCATCAATTATTACAATACAAGCAGCGCTTGTTTAGCTGTCACAAAAACACAATTGTTAGAGCATTTAGCACTCTGTGCTATCTAATTGAGCTGTGCAAACTAATGGGCTCGACACACGGGAGGCGACAAACGACCGCGATCAGCGAAATTTGTCGCTGTCGCTTTTATTACCTGTCACACGGGAGACGATCCGCGGCAGCGGCCAGCGGCAAAGCAGTCTACGCGTTCTGTTCCATGGCGAAATCGAAACTTCCGTTGTTCTGTTTGGCTGTGTCAGGTTGGAGGGAATTAAGGTGATTTAAGCGGTTCAGAGTTAATAAAGCGGTAGATATGATGTTTCACAAGGTGCTGCTAGAGTTAAGTGAAATCTTACTTCTGATTTTACTATATAAACATAATAATAATCAACTTCTCCTCCATGTTTGCTCGGAGATGTACGGAGCATCCTGTCCGCTCATTGGTCAGTGAATGAAACCTCCGCTGATTGGTCCTCGTCCGAGCGACAGCGATGAAAAGTTGAAAATGTTTCAACTTTCTGGGATCGCGTCGCTGGGTCGTACGTGCACGACACGTGCACGAGTGCAAACTTTCACACGCACGTTTTTCGCATTTCGCTTAGTAGGAGAGAGACCCGCGATTATCGCTTTGTCGCGCATGTCTCATTGAAAATGAATGGAGGAGAGGCGATGTCGCCTCCCGTGTGTCAAGCCCATAACGATGGACACAGCAGGGGCTAAAGTTGCAGGAAAAAATGCATTAGGATGAGCTGCAGGCGTTAATGGATGAAGAATAAAGTCACTTCCAAAATATAGCAGTTGTCAGACTAACAGATTCTCCTTTGCCGTCACTGGGTTTTGCTGGAGCTGCAGTCACTTGTTTTAATCAACTCTGGAGCATTCAAGCACGGAAACATCTGAAACCTGCAGGGATCTGGCACAAGTGATTCTAGCACACCCCTGCCAACTCTATCTGATGCTCCAACAGGCTAATACAGTCTAGCGCAAGGTTGAGCGCTATAGTAATCACTTAGCTCCAATACGCAAGATATAAAAATTATTTTGTTCCTATTTCTCCTCTTCCAGTAAGCTTGACACTTACAGACTGACTTTAATTCAATGCAGGTCAAGTTAGCATTCAAGCTAGGTTGGTATGCTTAGTTAACTGAGGCGTCTGAGGCCCCCAGTAACGAAGGTTGGACACTGGGGATCTGCTTGTTTGATTGAGAGCTCCTGCTTGTGGAAACACAAATCTACTGGTCAATGCTCTGGGCTTGTGTAAATGATTGGATTTTCTGTAAAGACCAACCATACTTACAAACAGATTGGCGCGTATTTCATGAGGTGGGAATGATGTTACGCATTGTGTGGCATTTAACAGTTTGTACCTGTGTGTGAAAATGTTACTAAATATAATAACAGCTCTGACCATGCATAGGAACAACATCTAGTGGTAGAACGGGGGAACGGCAATTGTGAAGGTCTCATCTACGCTTGTTCCTTATTCACAAATGTACCCAGTATGTAATTATATCGGTGGAAAAACAGCTTTTGCGCATAATTGGTGATAAAACCAATAAAAGACACACGGGAAATAAAATACATTTACTGACGGGAATCTGACATTATATCATGACCAGTGTTGGGAAGTAATTAGTTATAGTTACTGATTACTTTGTCAACAAAGCAACTGAGTTCCTTACCAAGTTACAAGCTTATAAAAGTAACTATAATTACCAACAAAAATAACTATTTTGTTACTTTTTTCATTAAAGAATGCAAGAACAACTGGTTCCTCCCCTAATTAAACTTAATTTATTATAAATTACTACAATACTGAGATATAAATGACTAATGACTGGAACATAATAAAATGTATGTCCAATTTTGTTTTCTATAAAACTGAATAACTGAAATAAATGGGCACTTAAACAGGAGGAACATCAAACGGGAACAGTACACTAATCTAGACATTTAAAATATCACTGTGTGATATTTAACAAGACCCCAATCATTTAAAATGTACAATTGTAAACAGAAACACCTGTGAAGGTTCCTGAGCCTTTAAATGGTCTCTCAGTCTAGTTAAATAACTGAAATAAATGTAATTTTGCACAGTATTTTAATTCTTCCAGCTTCGCATGATTGCGTGTTTTAGTAGCATTTCTGTTGCTGCTAATCTAGTAACGGTTAAATAAATAAATAAAATCCTTTAAAATGACACTAGAAGAGGCACAAATCTGATGGAGGACTTCAGTTAACTAGGGTCAGACCCAAACAGAGAACAGCTGAAGCTGGGTGGTAAAGACGTCCATGACGTCTGAGACTGATGCAATCAGGGTTACAGCGGGACTAAAGAAATGATCAGAAACAGGTAGTTGGATGATCTAGGAAGGTAGAAGATTATGACGTCTGTGCGGTCAACAGATGAGTGGATATTCGGGACGTCCCGCTGTCACGCCAAGAAGTGCATGGCTGCAAATTCACGCCTGCAGCAGTGAATCTGCGGGTCTGCAGCCGTAGATTATTCATCACGTCGTTCTTCACGGGTCGTGATGTGCTTGGATGAAAACATCCGCCTCTTTAGTTCCCTATCAGCTAATGACGGCTTCAACACACACACCGCGCTGCTGAATTAGTAACGCACGCATTTTCTTATCAGTAACGGAAACTGTGTTATGATAAAACAATTAATTAGATTACTCGATACTGAAAAAAAATTTGTTGTTATTCCCATCACTGATCATGACTAATCTGTGTTATCTGAGGATTTAACAGTGTGCTCACACTGGAGGGAACACATTCTTCTTGAGCGCACTAGGAATTCCTTCTGCTATGCTGTGATTTGGGACCCTTTGTGGCGCGACAGACAAACCTCACGAATCCGATTCCAGTTCATATTTTATTTTACAACTACGAACCCCCCCCGAACCACCTCCTGCTCCCCGATCATACTCGTAAACAGACTGACATCTCAGAAGAGGCTGAGGCTGCACTCTGTCAGACAACATTTCTAAATGAAACTAAAGCCCGAATCATGCTTGTGTCTGCATCAGTGCGGAGACACGTAACGCCATTATCTGTCCTTGCGGGCCTGCTGGAGAGCCTCCGCAAGGACGGATGGAGTCAAACTCTCTTTTATAAACATCTGTCTGTCGAGACGAAGAACGCAAGCTTGTGATTGGTCAGGGCACCGCTGTCGTCTACACAGCCGCCATTGCGCCCTCATAAACAAAGAGAGCTGAGGATAACTGGCGGCAGATACAGAGAAGCTTGAAGAATACCTCGCAAAAAAACTCAAAAAATATGAACGTTTAATTCCCCCGTAACTGGAGGAGTGAAAAGATGCGCAGCAAGCGTTTTATTTGTGGACGGAAATGACGGGAAACGTGGGTTTAGAGGTGGCGAGCGCATGAAGAGGTGGAGGAAAATGAGAGACAAATTTGTCTGTGTTAAAAAGTCTCTTATATACAAAAAACACAATCTAAACACACTATCTTGGACCGATACATGACAGGATACCACAGAACAGCGCTACGCCCTCTGTTGTCCTGGTGGGGAATTGCTTTGCAACACTCTCCAGGAGACGGAGAGCTATGAGGGCAAAATGTCTCCGTCCGTGCATGTGTGTCTCTCTTTTAGAGCTGACGGAGAAGCATGACTCAGGCTTTAACGTCCGTCCGTCGAGACGGAGAACGTAAGCTTGTGATTGGTCAGGGCACCGCTGTCGTCTACACCGCCGCCATTGCGCCCTCAAAAACATAAAGAGAGCCAAGGATATCTAGCGGCAGACACGGAGAAGCATTAAGAATACCTCGTGAAAAAACTCTAAAAATATGAACATTTAACTCCCCCGTGACTGGAGGAGTGAAAAGATGCGCAGCAAGCGTTTTATTTGTGGACGGAAATGACGGGAAACGTGGGTTTAGAGGTGGCGAGCGCATGAGAGGTGGAGGAAAATGAGAGACAAATTTGTCTGTGTTAAAAAGTCTCTTATATACAAAAAACACAATCTAAACACACGATCTTGGACCGATACATGACAGGATACCACAGAACAGCGCTACGCCCTCTGTTGTCCTGGTGGGGAATTGCTTTGCAACACTCTCCAGGAGACGGAGAGCTATGAGGGCAAAATGTCTCCGTCCGTGCATGTGTGTCTCTCTTTTAGAGCTGACGGAGAAGCA